AAAACCATAATGGACAAAAGATAAATATCCCTGGACAAAGAAATCATATTACCAAGCAGTAGCAAAAAATAATAGCCTCCTACATGACTACGGAGAGATTGAAAAAATGTAAAGATCACTAATGGTAAAAAATAATAATAATAAAAAAAAATAATAGTAATAATATGTAATAGTTAAAAGGAACACACAGATTAGCAGATATAAACTACTCAAGTTAATCCAACAACTATTTATGAAAGTCTGTAAATCTATACTTCAAGAGATGTCATAACACTTTAAGCTCCACCAATGGTCTAAAAGTCGCAACTTAATCCAACCTTCTCATAGCATAAAATTTCCAGCAAAAATGATGGGAACTCTTACTGAAGGCATTGAGTCACTGATAACAATTTGCATCATTTGATCACCTAAATGTGTACTTACCATTTATAATAGTTTGCTTTAGTCTATGCCAGTCAATTATAGCAAAAATTACAGTAGCATGGCACTGTCATACTGCCAAGACAAAAAAATAAAAATAAAAAAAGTTTTATACATACCTCCATGTACCTTTCTTCATGGATAACATGGAGCCTGAATATAAAATATAAATTACAGTACGCTTTTTTGCTTACTGTTCCAAAGCTAAGGAAACATTTTTTGAAAATCAAGATTTTGGATTTAGTATATGTAATACATACTAAGAGTGACCAATTCCTAGCTCCCCCCCTTTTTATGAAAAAAATTCAACAGTCCCCATCATAGGCAAGGACTATTTCTTGTTACTTATTAATTAGGGCATCTTGCAGTTTGACCATTCAACTCCGTTCAGAGACAGGTCTCACACTGTAAATATCTATATGTGATTAGTGTATTAATTTTAGTATAGGGTGTACACTGACAAAATCCCTCAGGGGTTTTATCATCAGATAAGGAAGCAGTCCAAGAGGAAGTCTGTTGACCTTAACCCATTCGCCACACGTGGCAAGAATAGATGCCATACCCACTTTGAGACACGTTTATCTATTGTATTTAAACATAGATGGCTCCACATGTTCTTAATCAACAAATATCCAGTTATCAAGAACTACCTATTTCACCTGTTTACCCTTTTCCTTTACTTTAGGAAAGGGATTTTTGTATCATTTCATTGTCTAAAATATTCTAATGCCTATTTAATAATCACAACATCAGTAACAATAATAACAGTATCAATAGCAATGGTATAAATTTTCCCGCCAATTCAATGAATGGGAGAATCAGGGTCGGTAACTAGGCCTACTGATAGACTCCTTGCCGGATGAGTACATGTGGAGCCATCTGTATGTAACAAAATTCACCAAAAACTACAGAGGACAGAACATAAATCCGGGGCGAATGGGTTAACTGTTTAGTGTAGTGAAGAGAGGTAACAGTGATCCCCATGTACATGATATAGCCTACCTACATTATTTTTTGTCAAGCAAAAAAACAAATACCATTCAGATTTAAGCACATGAAGTTTTCCGAGTCTTATCTTGTTAGTATACACAAAATATTTACCTTTACCCCTTGGATCCAGGTACCTTACTACTCACATGTGGCATAAAATCAAGGCATTAGGCTTTTTTTGAATGGCCACTTGATGGGTGTGTGGCTAGTAGGCCAGGCACTCATGAACAGTCAAGAGCAGTCACAAGACTAGATGCCTCCCCTTTGCAAAGTTATTATCTCTTTCTCTGCATACTATACTATATGAATACACAAAGGGCAAATTGAAGATGATATTCTTATAGGGGACAAAAAGTTAGTTTTCAGTTCAAGAAATAAACTGCAGACACAAACAGTAATACCACAAACAAAGGAAAAAAATAACAGAAAGTGCAGCCTAAGTCCACTCTGTGCTCCCATCTCTATCTTGCCATCTATTATAAGGTGAAGACAATGCTTCTTGGGGTGGTGTTGGGGGGTGGGGGGGGCAGTGCCCCCATTAACTCTCCCCTCGGGCACTGCCCGAAAGGCACGCCCTGTCACAGCAATTTAGTTTTTTAATTAGATTTGTGATGTAGAGTTGGGAACTTAGTCTCTTGCAAGTGTGTCTATATTTTTCGTTTGAGATGGTAATTGACTGCTTTCCTTTCACACCCTTCAAATCCTCTCTCTAGGTAGTCCATAAATCAATGCAATAATAATGAAAATAAGTAACATTTTATTACTTATCTTTTTTTCTGTAACACTACCTGCGTCACCATCATGGTGAGCAGGAACAGGATCCTGAGCATGGAAACAGCATCTTTGCTAAAGCCATCGCTCTTCCAGCCATGGTTCATGGATGGTACATTCTACACTCATTTATCGATGAAAGTAATGCAAGAGCCCCTTTACAAATTCCCACTAAGTCTAATCAGCCTCCAAAAGTGTACTCATGGGACTCTATCACCCCAGTCTTCCATCAAAGTTCTCATGATGGCAAATTCGCTTCAACCTAGCTCTCAGGCAAATATTTCCATGACAACATGTTCATATACTGTTTTTCAAGTAACCCTAATTGTTATACAGTAAAATTATAAACAAGATTTGATGCTGACTTTGTCAGTAAACCAACAGGCACAGTGGCTACTGAGCTATTTCTAAATGGCTGTGGCTACATTAATGGTATAGTAGTGCAATGTCTACTGAATATTTTTCCAGTCACATCTGCACAGTGTGTAATTCTCAAATTCTGTTGTAATCACAGTACTGAATCAGGCAGCCCCCTAAAAGGAAAACAAAGAATCCTCTATGTATTAACAGAAGGAGAGAGCATCGGACATCAGGCGCTCCCATGTCAGTTGTGTGCTCTACCCTGTGCAACCAGAAGTCCTGTAAAACTAGTTAATAGACATCACAATATGTTACCATAAATATAGTCACCTTTACCATCATTAAAACACATCTCAACTATGGCATCTTGGTAATATATATTAAAGACAATCCAATGATGCCAAATATTTTACTTTTAGAAAAGAACAACTTCTGTATTGAAATGGTCCTCTTAACCCATTCTGGGAAATGTGACCATCACATCATTTAAAAAAAAAGAGGTGAGGCGCGGGTGACATGAACATGTCATCGTGAGCATTTCACCTGAAGGCCAGGGTGATGGAAAAGACTCGCCATGAGTGCATACACCTACTGGGAGGTTTATTTACTTATTTTATGAGTGTAATGTCCATGAGCCGTAACAGGAAGAGCGCCCGCTCCATGGAGGACACCATTTCCATGCTCAGCATTGTATTCCTGGTGCTGTGAGCGACTAGAGAGATTATATTACTGAAAATATTTTTTTTCTTAAATTACACAAATAACAAAGTGTTACTTAATTTTATTTTTCTTACACTGAGTTGCAGACTACCTAGAGAGAAGATATGGAGTCTGTGAAAAAAAACAAACAACAACAATAACAACAACAACAACAACTATTTACCATCTGGATAATGCAAATCAAATGGCAAAAATAGACATTAAAATGGCCAAAAAGCTAAAAACATTTATGCATAAAAAGAGTAAATAATTGTAAATAGGAGGCACAGAGTCTTGCAACCACACACGTTTATATACACCCAGCTTGAAAGTAGCCACCATGCAGAATGACCGCCCCTATAAGTCTAATGTCCCGATTTTTTATGATTTGATTGCCGTGACAAAACCAGATCTGATGGGTTAATCTCTATTTTCAATTGATATCACAATGAAGTAGAAAATTAGATAGAATCAGCAAACAATTACCAAAAATAAATATATCTTACTTATAGAAAAGGAATCATACTAAATAATAATCCTACCCTCAAGAACATCTTAAAATATAAAAAGACACTGATAAGAGTTTATAACGGTCTCCAACTAAAACAAACAAACAAGTGAACCTCACTACCTCAAAAATTGCCACACAACACCAAAACTGATTATTGCATTTCCCTAGCCATGGGCTCTATTCCCAGAACCCCGTAAAGGCACTATCTCTGTAACCAGGGGTTCATAGAAACACCGGAACGGACCAAAACAGACCAGAACGGGCCAAAACAGGCCAGAATGGACCAAAAGGAGTTGTATTGATTCTATTGCTTCTCTTTGATTTGATTTCTTTTAATCAATTCTAGTCAGGGGAGCGAGTTACACTAATATCTGACTGTGATGATGATGAGTTTGTCAGTTAGTCAGCAGGAGTGAGTGACACTCTGTCTTTGTATGTGATAATGATGAGTTCGTCAGTTGATAATTTAGTCAGGAAGAGTGACACTAATTACGGACTATGGTTCGTCAGTTAATAATTTAGTCAGCAGGAACGAGTAACAATTACTGACTATGTGATGATGATGAGTTCGTCAGTTGATAATTTAGTTAGCAGGAGCTAATTACTGACTAATGATAGGTCCGTTCCGGTCAGTTATGGTCTGTTCCGGTCTGTTTTGGTCCGTTTTGTTGTTTCTATGAACCAGTAGCCAGTGCAATCCTTAAGAATATTTATATCCATTTGAACTATTAACCTGTTCTTAATGAATCACATGTACAGGCATCATAACATACCACTTGGTCTGTGGGTTACAGATGTACATGCAGCAATGCCCCAGAGCATATGGAGTGGGAAGTTCCACTACATGTAATGAACTCCCGCATTCAGTGTCTGGACATTACCAGAAATCACCAGAGCTTATGACGCTCAGAAAATTCTAGCATCTGTTGGCGTTGGACTAATGAACATTTTGCTGATATTAGTTACGCATTCAGTGTAGCACTTGACTCTACACAGTTAAGTTATCACTGTGAGCAACTTAGAAAGATTAGGATGCAATAATATAATCAAATATAAGGATTACTATAGGCGTATTATGAAAGCGAACTCTTTTTAATTTGAATTTCATGTAGTTACTTAAATTTCTTCTAGAACAGAATGCATTAACCTTCTAAACATCAATCAGGAGGAACCATATACCGCATCTACCAATACCAAGCTCCCTTACCCTCAAGTGATAATTCTCGGATAATTCTTCATACACACTGGCTATTCGTACTGTGACGGTGCGGATTGTCCTTGTTTCTATCTTATTCGTACCGCGGTAATCATCTTCATTCCTGTTGCGCAGATGCGGTCGCGCACTGGGCCATCCGTACCAATTTGATTTTGTCCATTCCGCTTGCCTTTTTCCTAGGTTAGTGCGTGATTAATTGCCTTCTAATTGTCATATATTTTATCTATCAATTGATAAGGTGATCTTTAACATATTTTATAACGATTATGCCAGTAGACGTGTATTTTTTCCACTTTAGCGAGCTACAACCTGCCGTTCTGTGCGACACGGTGGCCTCCTAGGTTGGGTTGGGTTAGCAACTTGATTCTGAAGGGTAAATGATGGTAAAGGTAACCAAACCGTTACGGTACGAATAACACTGAAAACTGACTAATTCACACCGCGGCGGTACGAATAACCCCGCAAGTTTACTTATCCGCACTGTGGCGGTGCGGATAACAACGCACCGCTCGTTATTCGTACCGTGACGCTACGAATAGCCTCGGCTTTCTTCATATCCCTTCACGAGAACATCTTCAAAATCCAAGTCTAAGGATTCTCATACACCTCCTCTACCTTATCTCCCTTCTCAAACTCACCTGGCGGAGGTTGGGGAAGTTCCATCATCGATTAACACGAATTGTAACACTTGGGAAATAAAAATGCACGGTGCAAAGTACACAAAACACACAATAATAGCAGACGCGGGACTTTGCTTTCGTCTCTTCCCTGACATGTAAACAACATGGAGCGGGCCGTTAAGTCTGGGACAGAAATTTTCGGTGAATTCAATAAATATGTGTATATTATTCATATGGACGTTACATGTCATTTTTTAAATATTATTTTGTAATAGATTAGTACATTTTTTTGCGATTTTTTGGGGGGAGAGGAAAGATATGGAATGGTATTCTATTTAACTATTTTCCAACGATAACATTGAATTTTTTTTCTTTATATTTTGCTAAATTTTACTTTTAGTTTAGCTTTAGAAGATTTTTTCCTGTGAAATCTACCTATTAAAATTCATATTATCCCAAAAACAAAATTCCTGTAAGAAAATAGAATTGTTATTTTCATAAGCACTATGCTGTACATTATCATCATTTGTTATTCTCATTTTCATTATATTCTTCGTCTTATTATTATTATTATTATTATTATTATTATTATTATTATTATTATTATTATTATTATTATTATTACTGTTGTTGTTGTTGTTGTTGTTGTTGTTGTTGTTGTTATTGTTGTTGTTTTTGTTGTTGTTGTTATCATTATTACTATTCTTTTCTCATTATCATTATTATTATAACTTTCATCCTTACTATCATTATCGTCATTATTATAATTATTATAATTTATTATTATTATTAATGTTATTATTATTATTATTATTATTATTATTATTATTATTATTATTATTATCATTATTATTATTATTATTATTATTTTTATTATTATTATTATTATTATTATTATTATTATTATTATCATGATTACTTATTATTATTACTATTATTATTATCATGATTACTATTATTATTATTATCATTATTATTATTATTATTATCATTATTATCATTATTATTATTATTATTATTATTATTATTATTATTATTATTATTATTATTATTATTATCTTTATCATTATTATTATCGTTGTTGTTGTTGTTATCATTATCATTATTATCACCAACATCATTATTATTATTATTATTATTATTATTATTATTATTATTATTATTATTATTATTATCATTATTATTATTATTATTATTATTATTATTATCATTATTATTATCGTTGTTGTTGTTGTTATCATTATTATTATTATCATTATCATTATTATTATGACTTTTATCCTTACTATCATTATCGTCATTATTATAATCATTATAATCTATTATTATTATTAATGTTATTATTATTATTATTATTATTATTATTATTGTTATTATTATTATTCATTATTATTATTATTATTATCATTATTATTATTATTATTATTATTATTATTATCATTATCATTATTATTATTATCATTATTATTATTATTATTATTAACATTATTATTATTGTTATCATTATTATCATTATCATTATTATCATTATTATTATTATTATTATTATTATTATTATTATTATTATTATTACTACTATTATTATCATTGTTGTTATTGTTGTTGTTATTATTATAATTTTTATTATTGTTGCTGTTGTTGTTGTTATTATTGTAATTATTATTATTATTATTATTATTATTATTATTATTATTATTATTATTATTATCATTATTATTATCATTATTATTATTATTATTATTATCATTATTATTATCATTATTATTATTATTATTATTATTATTATTATTATCATTATCATTGTTATTATTATTATTATTATTATTATTATCATTATTACTAATACTATTATTATTATTATCATTATTATCGTTATTATTATCATCATTATTATTTTCCTTATTATTGCTGTT